GTAGCCCAGGCTGGCCTCGAACTCACAGAGATCCGCCTGCCTCTGCCTCCCGAGTGCTGGGATTAAAGGCGTGCGCCACCACCGCCCGGCTAGAAGGGAGATTTTTTAAATGCTGCCTTTTACAGAGGTCTGCCTTGGGTGTGCTTTTTGTGTGGTGTGCCCGGATGATTGATATCAGGTTGGTTAAAAGGCCAATTGCACTAACAGCCTTTACTCCGAATTTTGGTCTGGAAGAGCTTTTGTGCCTGAAGTGGGCTGGCCTTGAGAGAATGGACCCAGTAGATAGATTTCTGTATGCAAGACCGAGCTCTTTGCTTGGAGCTTTCTGAGCCAGCAACAAATGAGGACCCGTCTACCCCTTCATAATGCGCAGGTCCTGCCGTATCTGTGCGGTCCTGTTTGAAGGTTGGTGGTGAATAGAATTGTTTTCCAGCAAGTTGTTTTGTTTAGTTAGGGGCCACAGAACTGTGCCTGCCAAGCAGGGGATGGTCCCAAATTGTTGAAGAAAGAAAGAACTTAGTCTCCACATCTCTAAACTCATCACAGTCTCACATACGTGTAAACCGAGACTTACGAACAACACGTCGAAAACTATACCCTGCCATGTAGCTACCGGAACCTGCTTTCAGCTGCAGAGAACTCTGAAAAGGATCCTTCCCGTCTAACCAGCCTTACCAAAGAATCTCAGGGAGAAACCACAGCAAAGTGCTAGTGTTCCACGGATTTCTGCTTCAACTTGAATTCCCTAGCAAGCCAAGGACTAGACGATTACCCAACAAGTGGAGGAAATTGTGTATGGTATTCATCCCTCACTAATTTTTCTTCTTTGCAGCTCCAAAAAGTGGCTGGGATCCGCTAGAGGCTGAGGCCACACACGCCCAGCTGCCTTCACCCGGCCGCCTTCCTGCTTCTTGGCCAGTCAAGAGGGGTTTACCAGTGTCGTTCACACACCAGGTGGGCAACTGAATCCTTTTTCATGTGGTGACCAGAGTAGTTCCTTGTGTTACCATTACCAAACTGCTTCTCCTCTCCTCTCCTCTCCTCTCCTAACTCC